GTGTGTGTGTGTGTGTGTGTGTGTGTGTGTGTGTGTGTGTGTGTGTGTGTTGCAGAGGCCCATTTAAGTTTTGGTTTAATGGAGAGCCCACAGTGCGGTCAAACGAAACAAAAGCTTGTGCAGTCCGTGCAACTGCAGCTCTGCTCGGTGTGCCGAGTTCAAAAGAATTGAAAAAGATTTTTCGTTTCCAAAAGGTTAAACTTTGTGCAGCCCATTGAAATATAAAAAGAAAAGATAAAAATGTGAAGAAAAACTGTTCTTTTAGGGTCTCCATGACTGAGTTTTTGCTACAAATTTAACAGTTAAAAACCTGCATATCAAAAATACAGTTTTATCCATATTACAACAAGAAAACCCATTGATTAGCATCAGGAAATATCTGACGTCTGTTCAAAGCCCAGTCTGTGAATTTTGGTTCCCAAATGGAAATTATAATGAAAGACAGGTGGAGAGCGTCGAAAATAAATAGCCTAATGGATCAAAATCGACAGATCTGAACACAATCTTTATGTTGGAAAACCGTTCTCGTGATGCGTTGCACTAAAACGCCGTTTTATGGCGTTCTTGTCTGAATATAGGTTAAGCACACACTATGGCAGGTAAATGTAAAATACAAGGTAAATAGGACTTTGGAGTCTGTTTGATTAGCTGMGTGTGAGAGGACAAAGGTTTACAGCACGGGTGAAGAAACACAGCGACACATTCACCAAATACTTGACCAGATCAGGAATGGTTCCTTCCAGCTTCTTAATGCCCAGATTTGAGACAATGGTTGTTGAGTTTTGGGGTTGTTTAACTAAACTTGGTAGAAACAGAGAAGGTATTTAACTGTGGAAACACTGAAATAACATCTCAGCGATGGTTACGTTTGGTTAAAACTTTCAAAATGTCTTGTTAGGGTTATGGTTAGACGTCCATAGGTTAAAATGTCTTGTCTGAGCACTTTACAGTTGACATTTCAGAACAATCGGTGGTGTTTTCCTCATTATGTGTTTTCCTCATTATATATTTAGCTCTTCCAGGAACAAGGATGTTTTCCAAGTGAGCTCAAGTCAGAATGAAGGAGCCGTTGTTTCGACCCAGACAGGAACTCATCGTTCACACTCAGTGCTGGTTTAATGTCCTGATTTCTTAACGTGTGTACTGTGAAGCGCTGGAGGTCCGTGGTTCGAACTGTGAAACGCTCYATGAAAGAAATGTCCAGGCGGAGTAAAAATAGATTTAATGTTCCCGCTCAAACACAGCTGAAATTTCACACAACTGCCTGACATGCTGCAACAAGCTGAAGGGCTACTGTGAGCTATATTTGTCC